CGCTCATGCTCTGTCTCTGTCTCTCTCAAAAATTAAAAAAAGAAAAAAAAGAATGTAACTAAAGCCAAACTCCAGAGGAGTCCTAGACTGCTGAGCCACAGTCCACTGAGCTAGAAAGGCCACTAGAATCTAGTTATTTATTTCTTTTTTGAGAGAGAGAGAGAGTGCAAATGAGCGAGCGGCAGAGAGAAAGAGGGAGAAGCGGGGCTCACCTGAAGCAGGGCTCGTGTTTTACCTGAAGCGGGGCTTGGGCTCACAAACCATGAGATCATGACCTGAGCCGAAATCAGATGCTTAACGACTGAGCCACCCAGGCGCCCCTAGAATCTAGCTGGTTTAACAGAGCAGTTCAAAGTGATGATTTTAGAATGAGACAACCTGGTCTGAATCTTAGTTCTACTAAGTAGACTTGTAATCTGTAGCAGGTTATCTTCCTAGGCCTTTCTTTCCTTATCTTTAAATATTTGGGGAATAGTTTTAGCCACCTCCTGAAGTCTTATGGAGATAATATATAGAGCTTGGCACACACTTTGTGTTAACACTAAGGTAGCTGGTGTTAGGTAACTACCTAGTGTTAGGTAGGTAATAACCTAGGTAATTATCATTATTTAATACACCTTCTGCATTTTACAAATGGTAAGGAAGCTGAGGGCCCAGACAGGTGAAGTGACTTATGCAGTCACTCAGCTAGTAAGCAGCAGAATGAGGCCAGAACCTAGAACCCTTCACTAGGCTACAGAGCTTTTTTTGTACTCAGGAGGGGACAGGGCTGTAAGAAAACCTCCACATATAACCGATCTACAGTAGCACAGTTTCCTTCTTTTCACAGCTTCAGAGTCTCTCCTGGGATGCAGGAGCTGCTCAGTACTTTCATATCTCCTTCCTTGGTGTGGGCCATGGCCTCTACTTGAAATGTGGCTTTCCTAATCCTCCCAATCTCCACCTGTGGGAATCTTAGCCACGTTTTCATTAGTTCAAAAAAACCATCTATTAGCTTCTATGTGCTAGGGACTATGCCAGACTCTAGAGATATAAAACTGAAAGAAAATAGTTCTGTCCCTTAAGGAAAGCACAGATTATTGGAAAGACAAACACGCAAAAGGTATAAACAACTGGATTATAGGCTTGCAGAGAAGCTAGAGCAAGGAATTTCTAAGTGTTTCATGGCTCCTTAAAAACTGCACTTAATGTCCTCCCCCGCCTCCTTCCAAGTAAAAATTAATCTTCTTTTCTGATTTCCTACCCTTTATTAATACTTCTACAAAGTCACCACATTCTGTCACCTGCAATCCATATTTGCGTCCTTGTTCATTTCTCACTAGATTGCAAATTACAGAAGGGCAACAACAACACATTGTATTTATGTTTCTATCTCTTAGAATGGTTAGCACAGCCGTTGAAACATACCAAGCATAGAAATGTTGGCTAAACTCAACAGGGTATGGAAAAAAATTCATCCATTTTAATGGGATGTTTCTTACACCTATCAAAGAGACCCCACGCGTGACCTGAAATGCCTGGCGTAGAGAGTACCTGTTTTGCACCAAGGAGGCCACCTTACTGGAAAGAAGAAGGCAGAGCACTGATGAGGTATAAAGACCCAGAAGAGAAAGACTTTAAAAACTTAGAACTAGAGGGATTAGAGTACTGGTCTCAAAAACTCAGAACTAGAAACCAGCCCTGGACTGTTTGCTGTAAATGTTTAATCACTTGCAATTAAAACGTTTATGTGTGGCTAACAGTACAGGCCTTGGAGTCTGACAGACTTGTTTGAATTCCCACTCTAACACTCATTAGTTATTTGACCTTGGTCACATTGGTTAACCAATCTAGGTCTCAGTTTCTTCATCTGTAACCAGGGGACAATACCTGTATGCTCCATAGGACTGTGAGAACCAAATGGGCTAATGTACATTGAAAGCCTCTAGGATAGAGACCGACATGATAAACAGAAGAAGCTCCTCTCCACTGGAGCAGTGGCACAAGATCTGTCCCAACCAGACAATGCAACATTGAGATGGGAAAACCAAAAGATAAAGGGTGGATCAGACCACAACAGAATTGGGACAATTTCAGGGGAAGCTGCCCAGAAGGTCCATGACATTCTCCTGAGGAATAAATCTCTTCTACATGGTTGCCTGCATCCCAGTCGTGG